CATGCAATTATTTGACGATGACTCAGTTCTCTTTGCAGTTTCCCTTTTTTTCCTTTGCCACAAAAGTCCGCCGTAGCAACAGTCCGTCCGTTTTTAAATCACTTATGCAAACTCTGCACTTATTTCACTCGTTTCTATTAGCCTCAGCTCAACTTGTAAACTTTTCCTCAGTCTCGATCGAGTATACACTGTTTCAATAGCTTTAATGGATAATAATTATGTTTCCAGATGGATGCACAATGACCTACAGGTTGCGCTGGTCGGCACTAAAGTGGATCTCACTTATTCATACGAGGTACAATATATGATGCGAGCTCTGTTTATACACTGGAGCAATTTTTAGTTCACTGTAGAGGGTGATACAGGATAGCCTTGGTTTTGCTTTCCTTGTCACGTGATTGGTCGTGAGAATTTGTGGTATCCTCTCGAACAATCATGTTCAACGCTAAAACCATACGCAACCCGGTTACGCGCGTTTTCCCGCGCTTTAGCTAGTTAGCTTGTTTTTTCGTTGAGTTCTGATTGGCTTCTTGGGATATCTTCTCTCCTGATTGGCTACTGCGATTACTTTGGTTTTGCAATACCCAATCGAAAAGCGTTCTTCGGCGATCAGCTAGAATAATGTTATTACAGAAAGATGTGAATCAATTGTCACAAGCTTGGTCATAAGCATTCGTAACTCAGGCAGTCGAGATGTCGCAGAAAACTTTTTGGCAAGGTTTCCCTTGTTCAAAGTTCATAGGTGACCACGAGGATTAGCAATGTTGGACGTTGCTGTGTTCCGCGTGGACATCGAGTGAGCAAGATGGTAGATTTTGATTCCGGTTTCGAGTGAAGGAAGATGTTTATAAACATCAGCAACTAGCACGGAACAGTTCATCAAGTGGTAGACAGTCCTTTTATTTTGCATCGTGATCTCTCTGGTGTGTTTTTACCTTTCAGCATCTTGGCGACTCGGCTAGTACACTGAACGAGATTGTATCCGGGAAGCACGCGTTTTCAAAGGTATTTCTCCTAAGCTGATGAACTGTACAAAATGAATTGCTGCATTTAGTAATCTGTTGTGTTACTTTAGAAATCTTTAGAGACACAGGAGTTTAAATGATAGCTTTAACGTATAATCATCGAATTTCATTCGTTAATCAATGGAACATTTCAATTTTTAATTTGTAGGTTTTGGCGAATGCTGAGCGCCCAATGATCCTAGTAGGAAACACTGTTCTCCAGGGACACGAAGGTGCAGCAACTCACCAAGTAGTCGCTGACATGTCACAGAAGTTGAAAAGTTCCAAAAAAGTCGACAAGGAATGGAAGGTTCTCAATGTATTACACAGGGTACGTGTTCACCCATGAATTTATACCCTCACCCAAATTATCGAAGTCGGGTCTGATATTTACATTTCTTTCAAAACTAATCTTTCAGCCGCGTCACTGTTTTGCGGTTAAAAAAAATGAATGAACTTTCTAACCTACAGACGCCATAAATACGCATAAGCGAACCTGCAAGCAGGTGTAGACATATTAAATTTTCAGTATTTTTTCGTCAATAAGTTCCTTTTAGCGCACAAGGAAGGAAATCTGCCAATGGGAACATTCTCGTTAGTGGCCAGCTCCAGTCACTTACACCTTTTTTGCTTCCTGAGGATGTTCGCTCACAAGAGTTTCTAGTGCAGATGAAAATCTCAACTAGCCGTTTCTTAGAAAAGTGAACTCTACAAAAAGTTGGTGATAAACAATAAACAAATGGCCGTTGTTATTTCGTAGGTGGCCAGCCAAGTTGCCGCTTTGGACATTGGATACAAACCGGGAGTCGACAAAATGACAGAGAAACCTAAACTACTGTTCTTGCTTGGCGCTGTGAGTTGTTTTGCGCTCTTTACACGACTTTTTAATGTCGCGTTTTTAATAAGTTTGTTTTGGGGGCTAGAGGCCTTCGTATGATAGTAGTCGGTATCATATTATAGTGGTTTCCGCGATCTTGCCGCCTTATCACTCTCTCCTTTAAGAAGATTTCGAGGTTTACCTTGTGAATACCAAGCGAAATCAAGTTTTTACACTTTATCTCCCAAGATCTATTTGTTAATTCTCCCCTCCAGCTGCTACACATTTCCTCTTAAATCAGCTACGAGCATTTGGTTGTAGATCAATGTAACAACTTCTTGTTATTGTTACCTTGTTATTCTGAGTATTCTCATTACTTATTTGCTGGTTACTGTATGAATAATATAGGGAGATGTTACATGTTAATCACTTCTGGGAGTTACAGGTTTAAAGATCGTGCCTTGTTTATTTTGATATGAAAGCTGAAGTATGTCAATTGTAACTGAGCTGAAATCTCAGCTCGTCAACTGTGGCTGAAAAAACAGCATGATATCAGAAGTTTCTGTGGGCCAGCCTGCTTATTAGGCTGAGACACCTTGAGTGTGGAAAGCAGATGGCCCCAGAAATATAACATGTACAAATACTGTGACTATCTTAGAAAGTGCAGTGTGCTACATGAAAGGACTCATTTTCGGATTTTAAATTGCAAAAATATTGAATTGCTCCTTTCTTTGGTTTTGTAATACGTTCCTATTTTGTATGTACAGGATGCTGGATTAGTGAAACGAGAAGATCTCCCTCAGGACTGCTTCGTTGTCTACCAAGGTGTGTGATTATTTTTGGGTGTATGTGTGTGTGTGCATTTAGAACGTGTGGTCTGATGCTCACTGTATAGGCATCCGCGCTTTTGCCAAAATCATCCCGATAAAAGTAGCCATGGAACTACCACTGTTCCCGAATGATTCATGTCTAACTCCATGTCTGTTGCCTTTCAGGTCACCATGGAGACCAGGGTGCACACATCGCTGACGTCATCCTACCTGGTGCAGCCTATACAGAGAAAACCGCCACTTACGTCAACACAGAGGGGAGGGCCCAGCAGACAAGAAGGGCTGTCACACCACCCGTGTACGCGAGAGATGATTGGAAGATCATCAGAGCGCTATCAGAGGTAAGTTTTCAACAATTATCTCCTATCTCTTTTCGTTTAACCTAGATATAAAGTAAATGGGTTATTACAATGTGTTTGCCTTTCCGGAACAGATTGCTGGAAATTCTCTCCCATACGACAACTTGGAAGAAATCCGGCGAAGACTCTCCGAAGTTTCACCGAATTTGACTCGATATGGTGATGTAGAGGAAGCGAACTTCTTCAATTTGGCTTTGGGTCTGATGCAGGTACGATTGATTTTGAGTTTTGCAAGTAATTCATCAACAATTTATAAGATTTAACCGCCAGAGCCGTATATTACAACAATGTCATTCATAAGTTTCATTTAAAAGCATCGGCTTACAAATTTCCGCCATTGAGAAACACGCATGTGCGCATGTCGTTTCCAAAGGGCAAGCGCGTGTTATGGAATTTCCCGCCATTGTTCGCGTGTACGGAGTCTTCTCTGATTGTTAATTAATGTGTTAACCCTTTAGCCCCTAAGAGTGACTAGCATCTAATTTCTCCTTACTATATCGCCCCTGAATCCAACATGAAAGTCACGAGAATAGAGGAGTAAAGCAGCTCTCGATTATTAAACAAATTCTCCTTGTCAGCCTCTATGGAAATGTATAGAGAACAGTATGGAGAATATGCATACTGATGTTAGGATGTAAAAGGTTAATTGTGAAGGGAATGAGCCTCGATTCTCATGGACAGCAAATGCCTTTCAATGTAAAACCATTATATTTCTCACTTTTCATTTCAGAGCTCTAAAGCACAATCTTTGAAACAGCCTCTGCAACCAAGCATTTTGGAACTAAAAGATTTCTACATGACAGACTCGATAAGTCGCGCATCGCAGACGATGGCTAAATGCGTGAACGCTGTGCAATCAATGAAGTGAAAATCATCCTGAGACCAAAAATCTCCTATGATTTGTAAATGTGTATAAATCGCTTTTTGAAGCCATTTGAAAGAACCGAAGGCGCACATTGTTGATGTGATCGACAGGCTTCATAATTTTTTTTAATTGGTTTTCTTTGTAGTCTTCTGGCAGAGATTAATTTATCAGTTAGAATTTCAGTCTCGCGATAATATCTTGAACGAGAGTTTCAACTTGTTTAAACAAAACTGATCTGAGTCGATTTTCTTTAACACAACACTAAGATTTTATTTTCAATGGGAAGTGTGACGTCCAAGGAAAGTTTTTTACGACCCCCCTTGGTCTAAAGCGAGGAATTTGGTAAATTTATTAAGAGGAATAACCCATCGTAAAAAATTAACGAGTGGTTCTAACTTGTCAGAGTTATTTTTGCATAGTTTCATTCGTTATCCTGAATGAAGATGACAACATGTAATAAAAACATTCAAGATGAATGGAGATCTCGTCTGTTAAGACTGCGTTTTGATGCAACCCTGCGCTTCTTAGGGAAACAAACCTTGAACACATGGGCAAGTTAATATGTATCTGTTGGGAGGCCCTAGTAGTCCACTCAAGATTGGCCTCAATTTGAACCGTGAGATATAGTACGAAATTCCCTGTTCGTCTCTTTACTGCTATTTGAAAGGGTATACAATTCTTTTTGCTGAGGACAACGTACTCGTGTTGGTTTGGTTAAGATTGTGGTTTATCAAATCGTTTTACCATCTATTACGTTTTCGTCGACCACTCTGCTTTAACCTTTATGGTAACACCTGTTTCATTCTTTGAAGAATTTAGGATTTAAGTTAATGTTGACTACACCAAGCCCCTCTACCTTTAGAGGTACTTCTAGAGTTTGACGCGCGCGCTGAAATTAGATTCACAAATTTATTGCGTCATAGAGGGACAATCTTGCCATAGCGGAAACTGCACAGATTTCACGAATGTTTCAGCCTACCAGTCGTCCTTCGCAATGTAGTTCTGACCGTTAACTAAAGCGCCTGGCAACAGGGTGCATCGCCAATTGTGTGATTTCTTGAGAAACGTCCTTCTTTAAGGGAAAGCGATCCAAGTTCTGTTGGCGCTTACGTTTGAAAGAAAATTATGTCCAGCCATAAAGATATTAATGACACCCGCTGCAATGTGTGTGGACTGATCCGTCCGTGTCCGTGTGATGCGGAAAAATCGATACATGATATCGGACACAGGGACAAGGGAGTTGACCAACCCATCATTATTATCAACCACAGAAGAATGTCTAAAAGAAGGCACTCATATCCTGCACCAGGTAATATTCAATTGAAAGAAAAACAAGTAAACCACGATTGTATTGGCTCTTCTTTATTGCCCTGTCTCAGATTGCTTTAGAAAACCCACGGCGTTATTTCAGCCAGTCCGGATGTAAAATTAACAACTTTGACGAGGTCATTTATATAGCAGTTACAAGCACTTGAGATTTTGAAACCCATTTATTTCAGCTGTTAAAGCTGTGATTTAGGTCAGTGCGAAGTCAGCGAGTTGCAAAAAACTGAGCACTAGCCAACAAGATGGGCCAATCTTACCCGTCAAATAGCCCGGATAGCCAATCAGATGACACGATTCACTTCATCTTTCCCGCTCACAGACTTAGCCATATGATAACTTGGCTTTTCTAATTTTCAGGTTTGCACAGCCATAACGAGGCGGGAGAGGCGCGTGGCCGCCCCTCAAAAGACCAGCAATCAACCGTCGAGACCTTAACAAGGCATGCTGACCTTCAAAGGACATTGGCCGCGACACAGAAAAGCGGGAGAGCCTCGACGTTTCTCAAAGACATATTCGCTGCCAATCCAGATAACAAAATGGCTCTGAAACTATTCGGAAATAAGGCAGCAGTTCTTATAGAACAACGTCGACAAGCGCGGAAGGGCAAAGGAGTCATTCACCCCTTCAGCACATTTCGCTGGTATTGGGACATCTTACTGATTATGTTTATCTCTATGCATGTTATTCTTCTACCTGTTAGTATCGCTTTCCTAAGCGACGATCTCTCGCTACATTGGCTCATCCTCAACGGTATCTCTGATTGCATTTTCCTCATAGACATTTTTTTAAATTTTAAAACTGGTTTTATTGATCCCAACAATAATGATGAAGTTATTTTAGACAAAAAGATTATTCGCCGGAAGTACGTGCGTAGTTGGTTTGTCATCGATCTGGTTTCGTCACTTCCTTTTGACTACGCCTACTTTATAGCTTCATCCTCGTCCACACAGCAAACGCTGATTAAGGCATCGCGGGCTCTTCGTATCCTCAAACTTGCTAAGTTGTTGAGTCTTCTCCGACTTCTTCGAGTCTCAAGATTAGTGCGATACATCAAGAGATTTGAGGAGGTATGTCCGTGTTAGCATGGGAAATAAGTACTAGTTTATGAGGGACACATCATCTTACACACATGAATCATTCGCGTGTTCGTGTCAAAATCTGGAATGAGATATCAAGAGAATATTTAATTTTGTCAGAGAAATCCTTCAAAAAAAAAAAATCAAAATGGGCTCTTCTCAACAGTCTAAGAACAGTCTAAGACTTTATATAAGATTCTTATATGGAGCCTGATGGGATAATACTAAATTTCAAACACGGCAAAATTGAAACAAATTGAACCAGTCCTACAATATCTTTCGTAAACTTAGAAACGCTAGGACTTTTTCTCCTTTACAATAAACATCTATCATTTTCCCTTTTTTCTTTTCTTGATTATTTTTTAATGTCTTTTTACGTGTTATTTCTTCATTTATGTGTTATTTCCAGTGTAATCAGATTTAAACAAGTTAAATTTACTGTAGTTAAGAAAAAAAATTGACCCGCCTCGATTAGCATCTGATATCTGCGAGTCAAAGAAATATCTGGTAGATATATATATATATATATATATATAATATTCGTAAGTATATATTAATATCTTTATATATATATATATATATATATATATATATATATATATATATATATATGAAAAATTTAATTGAATTATGACATAACATTGGTTTAAAGCGAGGTACGAGTTGACCTTTGAATGGAAGGGCAGAAATAAAGTGGCATACTCACTGTTTGCGTAGTTGTCTAATATATATATATTGGCATTTAATATATATATATATATATATATATATATATAATTCATTACCAAAACTTCAAACTAATATTATAAGAATTGTGTGGTAGACAGTAAGGGGAATTACTTATGAGATCTTGAGGATGGAAGGATTTAGAGTGTGGGAGAAAACAAAATGAGTCCTCGCATGAATGAAACCGCAGACTTTCGGAATTTGTAGTCCGATCCTCAACTATTGGCGTATTTAGTTATTGTCATACGCAATTTGTCATCTGCTAGTTTCAAATGTGACAAATGCACTGCATACGGCCGGGATTAGTAATGTCGAATCTATCGAGTGTTTAAATAGAGTAGAAGAGTAAATTTTGAGCTCAGATGTCGAAAAAATAACACTATGCATAAAAACAATCTTATCATAGTTAAACTCAGATCTACAGAGAGGACTATGCATCCTTGAGCACATAACACACTGACTGGGCCAGACTTGGTCCGATTTTCCTTAGCAATAGAGCGCATTCTAAGAGCGTTAGAACATTCGGAGGACTCACGCGACTACTTCCCGATGGTTAATCCATTGCAAGTTACTCCCCCCCTGAAAGTTAGCCGATAGTTGACGAAGAAAAATTAGACACTGCATGAACGATGATTGCTTAGTCTACGAGAATAACTTTTAAAAATATGACATCGAGTCATGAAATTTATCTGACGATTCACCAGACTAAACGATATTATTGCAAAGCTTAAGTTTACAAGCAAACGCCTTATCTCATACCCTTGCTACTGCTTTTGTATTTGTCATGGCTGTTATTTCAATTCAATGTTGCAGTTGCTGAATATATCTAGTGGTCAGATTCGTATCTTGAAGCTGATTGGCTCCATGCTGTTGTTGTCTCATTGGAATGGCTGTGTCCAGTTTCTTGTCCCGTATCTGCTGGAATTCCCAGAAAACAGCTGGGTCGTCATCAATGGATTAGAGGTTGTTATGATGTTAGGGCTGTGTGTCAAATAACGTGTGGCTGTAACCAAAATCATCGCCTTAAACGATGCTCGGAAATAGGACAATTTGTAGAGGTGGTGGGGGCAAAGGCAAGGTCTCAAGGGGGAAGGAGGAGGGAGGGGGGAGGGGAAGGGAGGATAGGTAATTTTTTTTACTTGACTGACGCCGACCCTAAGCAACAATCCCTGGATCCTCTCCTGTTTCATTTGAAAGTCTAAGGAAATCTGAGAGTGCATTGGTTTTTCTTTAGGGACCAGTCATAAATTAGCTCTCTACCATATGACACTGAAGTTGCAGAAGAGACGCACCGTTTTTTTCCTTATCCCAGAAGACTGGAATGTCTGACCAAACCATTTGCAGATATACTTTCTCTGGAAACACGCTCCCTCATTTATGTGAGGACCCTGTGTTTCAGTGCACCCTCAACCTCCCGAGGGGAGTAGTCCGGTGCACTGGAAATTGATGGATGGCGATAACATATGTCTTGTTGTGTCTTCTAATTCAGGACCAGCCCCCAGCCATGCAGTATAGCTGGGCGCTGTTCAATGCCATGTCCCATATGCTCTGTATTGGCTACGGACGGTATCCACCTCAGGCCATCACTGAATTGTGGATCACGCTGTGCAGTATGACCATAGGCGCGACCTTCTATGCAGTCTTCATCGGCATCATGTCCAGTTTAATAATGTCTATTGATTCGTCAGGACGGCTTTACAACGAAAAGGTAAGCAGGAGATGGGAGAGCAGTAGCACCCATGGCAATGATAACGAGAAGCTTCGACGAGATCAGCGCATGCAAATCTTTACAAAACGAAAGCTTTGTAAAATCTCTTTTATCTAATTTATAAAATAATCAAAAACCAACTGCCATGATTATAAGAACTGTCTCACCATGTCTGCGAGGATCTAACCACTACAGAATGCTACAAAATGTTACAGTGTTACCAGGGCTGAAGGTCGGCTATACCTCTTGTTTTTTTGAGTCAAAAGCACTAGCCACAATACCACCACTCAAATGCAGAGAGAGAAAATAAAAATTGAAGCTTATATGACAGGGAAGAAAGACGGGAGGGGAGGGGAGGGGAGAGTTATGGGGCACGTTTAGAAACATATCATAAAGTATTGTTATTGCTTCACCTTACAGCTGGTTTAGAAACATATCTGTTATCATTAAGTTTTCTTAGTCCTCCGCCTTACATTTGAAAAAATGTTTTAAAAAGCGACTATTGGGCATTTCAGTTGAGTCAAGTGAAGGAGTATATGCGATACCGGAAACTGCCGCTGCGCATTCGTCTTAAAGTGGAGGACTATTACGAACATCGTTTCCACCACAAACTATTTGATGAGGATATGATACTCAGCGAACTCTCCAAAGCACTGAGAGTGGTAAATATTCACTGATTGTTCGCCTAAAATTGCCTGACGAACCTAATAAGACCAACATGAATGGCAAAAGCAATTGGCACGCCTTCCCTTAGAGGTGATCGATAAATATTGACTCCACATAACAAAGTTCCCCCCTCCCCCTAAACAATGATGACCGGTGGTGACCATTTTTTAACACCAGTACAAGCACCAAGCAACATTGAATGGGGGGGGGAGGGGGAGGGGAGGGGGAGGGGAGGGAGGGAGAGAGAGAGAGTTATAGAAAGTTATGAAAAAAAAAATCAAAAAGTGGAAAAGCGTGCTAAGACTTTTGCCACTCATTGTAGTTAACCCTTTAACTCCCATAAGTGATAAACATGTAACTTCTCCTTATAACATCCACACATCATCCAGCCAACATGTAATGAGAATACTAAAACTTATCAGATAGAAGTTAGTAGTCTTGATCTAACACCAAATTCTTGCAATTTATTTACAAGGAAATGCGTAGCAATCAGAGGGAAGAGTTAAAAATTATTATTATATATATAGATATTTTCGATCGGTGAAGTAGTACCCATCCCATAGGGGAATTTTTCATGGTCATTGAAAAGCAGTGTAACAATATAATAAATGTTAACTTTACAAAGGTAATTATTAGTTTCTAAAGAAACTATTGTGTTAGGCGGGCATTTCAAACACTTCTGTCACTAGGCTTAACTAGGTGTGGCTTTTATTTGATCCTTTCTCTGCCCGTTTAGTTAAATATCAATTACTGTCCTCTTTATAGGTGAGAGAACTTTCCAATATCATTTTACTTCCGGGGTTAGAGGTGTCTTGGTAAACTATCCAATAAGACGGTGTCATAATTCAAAGAATGGCATCTTGCCTTTTCTTCTATGGATGATTATGAGGCATTCAATTATCAAGATATCTAATAAGCAGAATTAGGCACGCATTTTGATTGATTCTTATGATCTGTTAGAGGATCAATACATCAATGAATCATCATTAACCATCCTTAATAATATTTTCATCATATAAAATAAGGTGATTCTATGTTGCCGTGGGTCTCTTAAGTAATATACCAGAGAAGACACCAAAACGTGGAAAGAACATTGGTGACACACTCGGCAGCGCCTCATTTCCCAATCATTTGCCTTACCACATTTTGTCGTCATCTATGGTCTATTACTAAAACAGACGCACGACAAAAAGAAATCCATTTGCTAAATGTATTGGATGCTATACCAGCAAATTTCTATACTTGGGTTTGCAGGATATTTTGGTTCACAACGTTAGCACATTGCTTCAAACAGTACCCTTTTTCAGTAACGCCAGTAGTCAGTTCATCGAGGATATCGTTGGCAAACTGCGATTCGAGGTGTATTTGACTGGTGAATATATTTGTAAGAGTGGACGCAAAGGAGATAAGATGTACTTTATTCAAAGGGGAATTGTCGATGTTCTGACAAAAGACGGTACTTTAGCCACCAGCCTCGGGGACGGTTCACACTTTGGGGGTAAGCTGGTAGCATTTGGAAGTGAAGTGTCTCCTTACGGGACTGTTTGTTATTTATGAGAGGGGGGAGGGGTGGGGACCGGAAGAATTTGCAGTCAATGTTTCTGTAGCCTTCCCTTTAAACTCTCTAAGGGACGACTGATCATTCCTCCCTTCTCTCCCCTGAGAGCCATGTGATCCCAACAGAATCCTCCACCCCTCCCCTCACAGGCGATGAGTAGGCTGAAGTCTTAATTGCTCGTAAAGTAAATATTTGTGAAGTAACGCAAACTTATCAAGTTAGTTGCTTCTATAAAAAAATTTGATCGTGATTACTATCCAACCCAGAACTTTCACTCAACATTTGTTTTCTTATACTCTATACCGTTGTAATTTTTGAAAGTTAGAAACGGTGGCAGTGTTGAAAGGAAACCCTTTTACGCCGGAAGACACAAGCATGTTCGGCATACAAAATAATCGAACCTGGCGATGACTGTGGTAATTACAAGTTGCCCTACCTTTTCCATTCAAAACCATTCATGTACGAAAATAGAAAGTCTAGGAACTCGAAAGTCTGTTAAACATTTATCCAAAAGCTAAGGCAGGCATGGCTGTAAACTCATACCACTCCAGTGGCAAAAGCTTTACACCTCGCTCCATTCACGCTCTTCATGTACCCTTGCCAGTAGCCTCGGTCCTCCGCCATTCACCTAACTAGTTCGGTGGCAAAGTTTCAGATTTGGAAATCCTTGATATAATGTGTATTTCCTCGCCAGAAATATGCCTCTTAACGCGAGAAGCACGCAGAGTAGCCTCTGTCCGAGCTGCGACTACCTGCAATCTGTACTCGTTGTCCTCCCTACATTTCCATGAGGTACTTCAGGAGTATCCAGATATGAAGCTCATGCTGGAGGAGGTCGCAAAAGAGAGACTCAGTCGCATAGGGCTTGAGCCGACCCTAAATGAGCCGCTGACAATGGAGAAAGAAACAGAGAGGTTAGGTAGAAGTGATATGGAAAGCGAGCTGGTAGAAATTAGGCCTGCTGGTTCTGGGTTGTGTGGGAAATTTTGTATCTGAGACAAAGACCAGCTACATAACTCAGCTGTAATAAAAGCAAACCAAGAAGGAATTCAGTCAGAGCTAGACTTAGGTCTCTTCAAGGAAAATGTCATTTTTGCTTCCCCAGGATTATTACCTTGTACCATAACTTCACACGAAAGAACGACGCGAACTGAAGTGTTAGGGAAAGCTCATTGTTTGTCGTCCGAGGGAAGGGTGGGGAGGGTCGGTGGTTGGCAGTTACAATTTGTATGATCCCCCTACCGAGGTAGCTCTCTGTAAATACCAATTAAGTCTGTTAACGACGACTGATTACCCCTACGTCCCCTCCGAAAATCACGTGATCCCTCAAAATTCCTTCGATCCCAAACAGGCCACAAACAAGGACAGGTCCCTTCGTAATGTTAAGAGGTTAAAAGTTGGTGACAAGTTGCAACAGTGAGGTTTTCAGTGAGTCTTAAGTCGTAATATTACACTCAAACTGTGAGTATCTTTGAAATGCAACACGGTCTTATGCAAAATTTAAATTTAACACTTTTCGCAGGGCACTATTCAAAGCTCTTAAGCTTCATCCTATCCAAAAAGAACCGTCTACTTCCAAGAAGACTACTCCTCTTCCGCAGTGCAAAAAGGCTGTCACGGAAAAGGAGGTTACCACGGCTTCAGATGCACCACAGGTTACCAATGTAGTAGCTGTTCGAAAGCGTGCCGCGTCTTTACCAGCTGCGCCAATGGATACCCCTCCTTCAGCTGGTTCATGGGTTGCCTCTTCGTCTAACAACCAACAGTCTGAGGACACATCTCCACCACGAACCGACAGCCCTTTGCCCAAGAACAAGGGGAAGATTCCTCCATTCCTAACAAAAGCGTTCTTTAACACTGTTGCACCGGGATTGTCGCTTTTCGCGCAAACGCAGGAGCCTGGATTGGACGTCGTTGTCGAGGAGTACAGTGACGAAGAAGACCCGGATGTGATCGCAATCATGGCAGACTTTTAAGATTTGGATATTTGCACGTTTATCTTTTCTAATGGCGAGTTCCACATAATTTACGTGGGATCTCGTTACATTACAAAGGGACGTGTAGTGGGCCTCTTTTTAGCTCACGACAAACCTTTAAATAAAGATTATTAATTTTTCTGCAACACTTAAATGTGTGAGTTCAAATGTCTTTGCCGTAAAGCCTATAGTGAATTCACTTTACCTATAACCTTATCAACGTATATGTTTGAGAGTGATTCGTTCAAATATTTTTAGTACCATTAACCCTAAAAAATAGGTTTTGGTTTTTCCCCCACGCACCTCTTCTTTAAATACCCAAAACGGATACTTCAATTTTCTCCGTTACGCTTTGTAATTTTAAGGCTTTAGTTTACTACTGTCTACTTTTTTTTTGCACAAAAACTGTTAGTTTCATTTCATAGAGTTAAACACATTTTTTGCTTTTCAAACAAACAAGAATGAATGAAATGTTAACAAGTTTTCTTTTTGTAGCATTGTCATTCGAGTCTCCTTTTCATTTACTCCATCTTCTTACCGCGCAGAAAATAGTCTCTCACTCATTCCTGATTTCGTTTTTTCGCTGAAATAGCTTGTCTGTTCATAGTTCCATGACATCATTGAAGTCTCTATGAGTGCTCCTCAAGTTTAAATTTATCCCTAGTCTCCGTTATTGATCTTTGAAAGCGAGAGAGAGATTGGAACGAGTCAGGGAGGTACGCGCGCGACCAAGAGTTCCAAGGGAAGGCGACCCATCTCTCTTCGCGCGCCTATCAATAAAAGGAACTAATGAGAGATCGCTGGGTACGAGTTCACTAACATAAATGCGTTGATAACTAGCTCTTTTTACATTTCGTATTTACAGTAAAAAGGTGTCATAACTTAATTACATTAATCAGCACTTAAAAGGCGGAACAATAAAGAATGATGCAGTGGGATGAGTTTAAGGGAGACGGCAACGCATTACATTTGGTGAGTTTTTTTAGGAAGGGTAACCCCAAAAATATTAAGATAAAGGGAGCCTGAAAATTTTGACTACCGAGGGATTTCAGTTTAAACGGGAAAATTCCCCTTTGTAACGCCACAGGAGAAACTTCAGTATTTTTTGAGACAACGTGACCCTTCATTTAGACATTTAGGCCTGTGTTATGAAAACCGGTCTAGAGTTTGGCTTGTTAGATTATGCAGCTGTCTTTTGGTCAGCATCATTGTTCTGAATAGCTTCTAGGACATCCATGGCCGCCGCTGGGATGCGTGTTCCTGAGAAAAGAACAATAAAGAGCAACTTAAGTTTGGACAGAAAATAGAGAAAATTGGGGGAAGGAAAAGGACTTGACCAAAAAATACATTCATGCTACATCACCACACCACAGGAGGCTTTCAAATAAGTGACGTGATCGAGCTATTATCAATTGAGTATTGGAAATTATCCAGGTGAGCATTGGTTATACTATAATTCGTTACATGATTGGTCTACAAAACCACATTCTCACTCACTCAAATGATTGCAAAAGAAAAACCAACTGCAACTTGGTTACTCGCGTTTTCCCGCGTTTAAACAATTTTCTTGTTTTTACTTCGAATTTTCTTGAGCTCTCCAGGATGCTTCTTTCGTTCTGATTCACTGCTGTGATTACTTTGGTTTGGTTTTAGAGCACTTAAACCAAAGGTGCTTTCTCTCTCTTTCTCACGCGAAACTCGTAACGTCACCGCGCAGTTTTCAACTCACACATGCGCCATCGCTTACACTCACCGGGACCGAAGATGCAGTGAACTCCAGAATCATAAAGGAACTGATAGTCTTGAGGTGGAATAACACCGCCGCAGACAACAACGATATCGCTGTAAAGAAATCAGCACACACAGACACACAAAAAACGTGATAATCAGCTGGTGACTATACTCAGTTTGAGTGGTACGATATCAATTAAACCTTTCAATCCTAAGAGTGACGGGCTTGTAATTTCTCCTTGTAGGATCATCCTTAAATCCAATGCGAACGTTGTGAAAATAGAGAAAATGATCACCTGTCTAAGAAGCTCCTGACTGTCAAACACTAGTCAATACTATAGGAAACGTACAGAGAACAGTGGCAAGAAAATGACTACTGGTGTTATGGTGTAAATGGTTAAAAGTAGCTTTGTTTGAGCATTCAAATGATCAGAAACAGCCCAAGTTTTTTTTTTTTAACCCCCAAGAAGCTCGACCAAAATCTGCGTCAAATTGCAAAAAATGACGACTTTCTTGCAAACGATTCCTCACATTTAGCGGGATCAATTCGAGTTCTCTTTCAACATCCTCCTCATTTTGATTGGCTGTTGTGAAAGCCTCGACTTCAAGCATTCCCAAAACGCGTTCAAACATGTCTAAAAGGTAAACTTTCATGATGACCCCCTCCCTTCCTCCACCCTTGCCCCTACCACAAAACCCTCAAACTTACCCTCTTCCCATCGACTTCATCTGAGATATTAATTCAGGAATCAGGGTCTTGTGTCCAGCAGCCTGGGAACTAATCCCCACAACATGCACATCCGCGTCCACGGCTTGTTGAGCAACTTCATTAGGAGTCTATGACGAGAAGAAGAGCAATTTGCACAAAACACATCATTTTCACTCAACTTAGGCATTCCTTTCCAGGGCATCGCCCCAAAGAGGTCGCCCACCTATAAGGAAAAATTCATGACCTAGTCTTTCTGGGCGGACTATCGAATTACTTGACGCATTTGGAGTAAGGCCACTCACCTGGAAGAGAGGTCCAATGTCGACATCAAATCCCAGATCAGCGAATCCAGTAGCGATAACCTTTGCACCTCTATCGTGACCATCCTGACCCATTTTAGCTACAAGGATCCTGGGTCGACGGCCCTCCTGTTCCACAAAGGTCTGGGTACGAAATAGCGATCACGCCCTTAATTTAACTGTAAGTGCCCCTAAGGCACGGGTTTATCCCTTGTTTTGATTTAGTAATCGTTTAATTAATAATCTGTAAAAGTCACACTAGGTGCCTCGTCACGCGTTCCGTAAGTAGTATCGCATTTCCAAACAGAACGGATCTATTGTGCAATTCAATAATTCGATCGATTTCGCAAGCACTCGTGGTTTAATAGAAAGAAATTGTCTGTCGTTTTTATCGAAGGAAGGAAAGGTCTTTTTGTGTCAACTCTCGCCAGATCCGGCAACAATGTAAGTTTAATTTACCTCGAGTGTTTCTATAGCTAATTTCTTGTCCCTAATTTTGTGAATCAATTATTTTTAGCTTCACGGTCAAATACGACATTTAATAAAGGAGGCGTTCCATGAAAGAAATTGGGGCGATATTTGTTGTGTCGATCAGTGAGATTCGTACGGTCCAGCTAGCGGCGATCAAGCGTCGCTATATTAACAATGTAAGTTAAGCGTACGCGTAGCCTACATATTTGCTCCAAATTCTAATTAAAACAGTCGGAAATTTAACAAGCTTTCGAGAAAGGTGACAACGATAACGGCGCTTCTCTCTCCAACTTGGTAAAGGTCCAATTCGCAGACTGGGAGTCTGAATGAAAGGCATATCGCTACAACGTCACCGCACGCAATGAGCCCGGTAAAGACCTAGCTTAGAATATACTTCTCTTTAGAGGCAAGATCTGAGGTATGATTCCTCAACGGAACTCATTACGTTTTTCTCATCTTCCTTAATTTATACAGCATAGAACACTGAGAGGGCTACTTCTTGAAAGTCTGCTCGTGACTGTTTCTTTAATTTTTCCGATTTTCAGGCCATGTAAGACAGCAACTCACCTCAACTTTCTTCATACACTGGCTGATTTCATCAGATTCGCCAAACTCTGTTTTGTAGGCACCGCTGACCATGCGATCACTGGCGACATGCCTTCCAACAACCTTAAATCGGGAAGAAAATAAGTCTGTCTGTGTCTACTCGCACTTTATAAATCTTGTGACATTTCCATTCCGCTCTTACATGGGCGTTGAAACTTGTTAAATTTGGGTTCTCCAAATTTATGGTATATAACTACAACTTAACCGTTGAAAAGGAGAAAAGGAACAGAGGCTGGACATGAAGGAAGCTTGACTGACTCGTCTGGCAACCGAGGGAAATCAATGGCGTTCTCCGGCCGAGGACTTATGCGCATAGACGCACTAATTAACTTCCATTTTCATCACTTACCCTTTCCATTGCCTCGGTAATCTCGCCCACGGTGCAACGAACCCTTGATGCCTTCAAAAACAAAGAAAAAAAGGCAAGAACATTTTACCTTTTACCTCCGTTGCATGTAATCATGCACACCTCAAAGAAATACAAACCGCCTTGCAGCAAAGTCAAAGATAACGAGTTATAGGCAGGGTAAAAATTGCAAATACATAGATATCGTTTACTTAGCCTGCTGATAGACTCTTATTTTTATAGGGACCTTAAGCAGTCAGGACAGCAACGCTAAGGAAGAAGTTCTGCCCATTTCATCGTTTTTTCTAATTTTTCTGCGACGTCCTTATTGCCGAAGGTCCCTGATAGCGCTGCAGGACGCACGTTTCTCCGTCCGCAGTAAGAATTGAGACAAGTCGGGGAGAAGCTAGCCGGGGGTCTGGCGCTAATAGTTATCCACGCTAGATCCCTTGTCGACCTCGCGCCGACTCGCGTTGCTCAATGCGAGTGCAAATAAATTGATGGGGGCCTGTCCGCCTGCTATTGTGTATTTGACTTCGAAATAGAGATAATCAAAGATGAAAGATCATCGCAGATATACACAATTTAAAGCAGTCAACATAAAACCTCAAAAGAAAATCAGCCTTGAAGAAGGTTTCAAACTATATCGCGGTATGACATCATTCAGGATGGGTTCGAATCCCGCTCCAGCTGAAATTTTAGTCGGGTTTTATTTTCTCAAAACCATGAAGACCTTTCACCAATAAAATAACTAATGTAAATGAGTATGAGCTCTAAAGATTTTTACAAGCCGCAGTTTGTGTTTCTTAAATATGTTCTTGTTCTATAACTCAAAGATACAGATGCTCTTGTCTGATATTAAACCAATCTTTGGTAATCAGCGTGCTTTGTAACACAGATTCTCCATTTACATAAGCTGGTCACCGAAAAGGAAACGTTGAAAGCTTACCTTAACAGCAAGATCAAGAAGATTCCCTTCACCCGTTTTGCAGCATTCTGATATGGCATTCATAGCAAGATTCACCTGCGGTGAAAAGAAAGAAAGTTTCAATGAACTTGTTTACTCAACTCTGCAAAGCAAAACGTTTAGAATAGTCCATTTCACAGTTACGGACTTGGTTGCCAAGCCTTTGAACAGGAGTGAGGCTCAGGGTGACCTTGTTATGATATGTCTCTGTCACAACAAGGTCACCTTCAGCCTCACTCCAAATCAAAGGTTTGGCAACTAAGTACACAACTGTAAACTGGCCTATTGGTGGACTTCCACACTAGATGTACGTTAACGAATAAAAAATTAGCAATGGATGCCACTCTTTCACATAAACGGGAAGATTTAATCTGGCCCTACGCACAATTTGTGGCCCAGTTGCTTGCAAGGGAAATTTTGGGTCACAAAGACTAGGTTCGAACTCTGCTTACTGGAGCTTGGACAGGTCACTCTTTCTCTCTCAAAGCCTTTCTCTACTTAGGGCACCAGAAAATTGACCGACATTCCGTACAGTGGGAGTGCCAATACTCTTAGCTGCTTTATCTAAGGAAACCGCAGTAAACTCCGACTTTTGAGCTCGTTTCGTAGGCAGACTATTTTCCAACTAAGGTAGAGACCGCTCTCTTGGGAGAATTCCGTTACTACTTAAAACAAACATTTCAAGTCTTCACCTCGTCTTGATTTCGTGTCTCCTTGATTCGCTTAATTTTCTCGAGCTGAGAGAAAGCAAATGCACCAAATTAAGAATAGCAAAAAAAAGATTTCTACAACGAGTTGTTCGAAACTCGATTGAGACAAAATTTCAACTGCATAATAAAAAATTTGTAAATAAATAAGTACACATTTAAGTAATGTGATAAGTAAAACGTTACTTCGTCAAACTTTCCTAAAATATATTGAGGTACCTTCAAAGTTTATTAGGGAATTTAAGATGTAGGGGAAATTTCGCCTAAAAATAAACTTCCATTTCTACTAATAATTTCGCCAGTAGCTCAGTGGGTTTACTTTAAGAAATGTACAAAGTTCCAAAACGCACGTGCCGAGCTATTGTTCTGCAAATTAAATCTTTTGTTTTGCTACGTTCTCGTTGCTGTCGCGGTTGTGTTTTTTTTTTTTTTTTTTTTTTTTTTTTTTTTTTTTTTCAAAGTCCCTATCAGTCAAGTCAAAGTTTGTCGAACCGAAAAAGCGAAAGATCTCAAGAAAAGCAACGCTTCCGCTCAACTCTCTTAGACTTCTTCTTGAAAACGTTCACGCTTCGGGTAAACCCTCTGATCCAGAACAAAATTATGCAAAGGAATTGGTTCATATTTTGAGAAAATTTAAGGTAAAAAATTAGTCTTGACAGTTACCTGGCTTTCTCGCACTTTGGTGTTATCCACAACAAGCACGTCTATTTCTTCTTCTTTGGCCAAGCGGTATTTATTAACACCGACGATAGTTTCTAAGACAGAAAAACTGATATCTAGAAACCGGTGACACACCTGACGATTTTATTCGCCGATCGCAGCTAATTTGAACACCGGCGAAAACCGCTGATATCTGACATGCCAGATATTTGCAAAAAATTGTAATCGCTGCACCGGGCACCCCGGGTTTCGTCGATCGCCGCGATAGACGAAAGGGTGTCACTGGCTTTAAAGAAATCAGTCCGCATGGCATGCTATCAATTGAACTGGACGCGAGTTGTTAAGACCGCCACGTGCAGGAGAGAAGTTACGTGTGCAAAGGCGAGAAAAAGCTACGAGTACAAATAAACACGCAATAAATAATTTCCCGCGGTGCATCACGACTAACATCCACGTGTACTTCGATGGGTTTTCTAAACTGTAGAGGAAACAAAAAGACAGCCTTCTCTTTGCTGAGCTCCCTTGTCCACTAGGTTACATGCCAGACATGGAGAGGAAACTGATTTTACCGCTTTCAAAATTCGACAATGTAGGTGATTTTACATGAAAACTGCAAACGGTTTTAGGGGAATATTCTACTCTGTTTAGTTATCCTGCTTTCCAGATCCATTTTAACGAGTTTATACCCATCACCCATGCCTATAAAACGTTAAGTAAAGAGCCGAATATTATAATAAGTCAAGGATTCTTGACAATTTGAAAATAATTTTTTGCGAAAAGTTTCTCAAAATCAACGAATCAATTATTTCTACCTGTATTCAAATCTTCAGAATACAACCACAACAGCACATTCGACCTCCAAGACGTTCAATAGTTACCTGATCCCGAGTCAATCCTAGCTTGTCGCTTGGCTGCACATTCCTCAATTCTCAGTTTCGGCATTCCAGCAGCAACAGCTTTAGCCATACCTCCCATTTCTTCAACCTGGTTATCAAATTCTAGCAGTAAACTGTCTTATTTTATTAACAAGGTCCGGAAAAAAATCATTGGGTGAGAGAATCATTGTTGTTTAAACGCTTCATTTGGGAACTTGGGCTTCAACTTATATCACTCCACAGAAAGTACAATTTAACTGTAACCATAACATCAGCTACATCTTACTATAACAGCGCATGCCACAAACTATAATTCATCCCGTTTTTTAGGCTCAGATTAATTAAACCTGCATAATTTCGGGCATAATGCCATAGTCAGAGTATCGAGAATGATATGAAAGATATTACAGGGTCGTTTTCAGCATATACGTCTCAAATGCAGTTTCTAGTACTTTTCTGTAACTTTTTTAGGGTAGGTTACTTTATTGAATTCAGCACTCGGAGATAAAATTCGTATTCCCAAGCGGCCATGTAATTTCTGTTTATTTTATTTATACTGATGAAATTTCAAAAGAACCGGCCGCGCACCACGATTGCTAAAAGCCACTATTCTCGTGCAAGCCTGGAATTTTTCCTCCGTTTGCTGAAAGCTATGCTGTTTCCTTCTCCCTTTTTTCCCACGCTATTTCTCTACAGCTTTCCACAAGTCACAGTTTTCCCGCGCTATTCACAAGTAAAGTTCCTTACCACCCTGTTCACATATTCACGTTCAGCCCCGCACACGCTTTACGCATCCAATGACTACTACCGTTTCCTTCTGGCATAGGTCTTAAATTACTAACCTCGTTAATAACAGCCAGGCCTTTTTCGTATATCTCGTCTGTGAGACACTCCATCATGTGCGATCCACCCCATGGGTCTGCAACCTAAGAAAAAAAATTCAGGTGAGTAACGATGTCACATTTCTTTATCTTTACATCTGAGTTAGAAAAAGTTCAAAAGAAATCAGTGAGGACAATTCTTGATTTAAATGGAAAATCAATCGAGGATTACATTAGGAATGCCAGACTCCTCTTGAAGAATGATTTGTGTGTTACGAGCAATTCTGGCACTGAAAGGCGTGGGTAGTGCCAAGGCCTCGTCGAACGAGTTGGTATGCAAGGACTGGGTTCCACCAAAAACAGCTGCCATCGCCTCAATTGTTGTCCTGATAATGTTGTTGTATGGATCCTAATTGTAGACAAAAATAATAAACACAGTCTTGCATATACTACATCTCAATTGAGGTCCACTACATCATATCAATTCTAACATGTGAATAGCTTGAGAAACTGCTTTTGTGGAGCAAAATGACCCGTACACTAGTTCATGACAAATTTGGCAACTGCAGTTTTCCATTTTTCCTTATCCTATAACAAGTATGTGGAGAACGCGGCGAGAAAACCTCATATTTTTTGTCTAAATGGAATTTATTTCTCGAAGACAAAAAGGCGTTTGTAAACAAAACGTTCAACCTTTAGGAGAAAATGTTTCTCCACAAAATCGAAAGGAACTTGGTAAGAATTTTGTTGCATGATTCTGACATCATTTTGCGGAAAAATGAGAAAAAACTCTATTGACTGGTTCTTGCTCTGAATCTTTCATTTGAGCTGTCTGTTACAACTAAAAAACTACAACAAAAATTAAGACACTACGCTAATGGAATTGATAATTAAATCATGACCAATGAAATTGAGTTACTGTGTTTTGCCCTTGAGATAGCAGTCATTTTTATCACTAACAACCGCTTTTTTTAGGGAAAAAAAATGTGTAGAGAAATTCACTACCTGCTCAGTGAGAGACCAGCCAGAAGTCTGGGAGTGAGTCCTCAACATGCAGGACTTCATATTTTTTGGTTTGAAATTTTTCTCAATCTGACGAGCCCACAGTCTACGGGCAGCTCTCATCTTTGCTATTTCCATGTAGAAATTCATCCCAATTCCCCAGAAGAAGGACAGACGGGGTGCGAAACTGTCAATGTTCAGTCCAGCTTTGAGTCCTGAAAGAAGATGGCAAGTCAGAAGAGTGATGGGCCACTGGTTTCATAACTTTATGTAAGACAATGAAAACATTCCACAGGAAAACAACTAGCTTCAACCCTAAAACACTATTCTCTTGCTCTTCATTGTAGTTATTATTATGTAATACTTCAAAGTCTTAAGATGACCCCTGCAGACACACCTTTAATCAGCAGGAAAAAATTAAAAAGAGCTTCCATCACTATACAAAGTACATGACTTCTCTCTCTGTACTTTACTCTACCAGTGTTCTTCCCTTACCTGTTCTGCAGTACTCCAGGCCATCAGCTAGAGTGAAAGCCATTTCCAACACAGCATCTGCTCCAGCTTCTTGCATGTGGTAGCCAGAGATGGAAATACTGTTATACTTTGGCATGTTCTGTCAAAAAAAGAAGTATTGGAAAAAAAATTGAAAATAAGTATCAGGATGGCTATGGTGACAGTCAATTTAACCTAAATACTATTACCAGTATCAAGCAAGGCAACATATGACATCTGGTGATTATCATTCTACTCTTCCCCTTGGGATAGGAGACTGATGTTATCTACTGTAATTGACTTCCATCATTAATCATTCATTAAGCTGAAAGATAGACATTTTACAGCTGCATGTACTATGTACCTGTGATGTGTAAGAGAAGATATCCCCAATGATCTTCATGGATGGTTCAGGAGGAAAGATGTAAGTATTGCGTACCATGAATTCTTTTAAGATATCATTCTGGATGGTCCCTGACAGCTGCTCTTGTTTTACTCCCTAAAAGTCAAGTCGCAAATGTAACAAACTTCTACTTCTAAAAGATCTCATTCATTAATAATTAACTCTAGTTTACGCTGTGAACTTTGAACTTAAAGTTGGCTGATGGCAATTTCCCCAAAAATCCTATGTATCCTTGAGGAGATTCGGAGTAACCTTGTGATGATGTATGTATATACAATGTACAGGCCTTAATTATTTTACTAGCTCTACAAGCATGCAATGCAAGATCAATCCTGTATTCTAATTGATTAACCCTGCTGGTAAAATGGGCCAGTCTTACCCATTGGGGATAACCTGCTTCAATCTTGCAAACATGACAAAAGAGCTTGTGGCTGGTTTAAACTCTCTATTACCTCAAGGTAACTTGATAATGTTCCAAGAAAAAGTTTTCGAGAAGTTTTGACACCAATTAACAAAGTCACTTACACATCCTTAGAGAGTCAAATCAAAGAAAGCAACAATGAAAACATGTTCCTGGAACTTGTCCATAACTTTGATGGCGTTATCCCTTTACTGTATACTGTGACGAAATGCTTTATTGAATTAGCTTGTTTGGCTATAGTGGCCCCATGTTGACCTGTCTCATGATGTGGAATTTATTAACTTCAACTTTATCGCCCATCCATAATAACACAAAAAAGAACTTAGCCAACACCCAAGCCTTTGGATTCCAAGCTTGATCAGTGACACTATGACACTTAACACTGTATACAAGATGTCATAATACTTACTTGTTCCTCTGCTGCCACAATATACATTGCCAACACTGGTAAAACAGCACCATTCATTGTCATGGAAACTGACATCTTATCCAAAGGTATACCGTCAAATAGCATCTAACAAACAATCAATACTTTTGTTTACTGGTAAATTTGCTCACATTTGTATTTGCAATCATTTCTTAAAATGTTAATGATATTTGTTTTCACAATGTTTTGAATCTGCCTCTTTCCTCAAGATGCCACCTTAAAATTGATGGATTCTGCCAATGCATCTACATCATTGTTGCTGATCAATTCACATCATGCAATGATTTATTTTGGGGTTTGGAATTGTTCACCTTGAATATACTGCCAAGCATGCCACTGCTCGTGACGAAGTGTTCAATTGTAGCACACCAGTGAATCACAACATGATCTGAGTGGCAATGAAAATGCAAACATCATATTTGAATAAGTCAATATATACCTTCATGTCTTCTACTAAATCCACTGCAACTCCAGCCATTCCAACATCACCATGAACCCTTGGGTTGTCTGAATCATAACTAAGATAAATATCTAGATGTAATTGGAAAAGTTCCAAATTCCTCAATTGTGATTGGTTTTAAAAACTTCTATTTTCCTTTAAATAACTTGCCACCACAAGTTGTTGTTTAAATCAACCAATCACATTTAAAATTGTAGTTTAAATCAACAAATCATAATTATGTTTTCAATCACCATAGAAACAGTGTACAGACTCCTAAATTGGGGCTTTTCTTCTTTTCTCAGAAATTGTAATTTTTATGTTGATTAAATGGTAATAAGACTTTGTGGATTCCAATTTAGTCTGTAATTATACTCCTGATAACAAATCAGACTTCTGCTGCATGGTTGTCCAATTTTGCTATCACTTGTATGATTACAGACTAAATTGGACTCCACTCAGTCGTATTACCATTACTTAATGCTTTGTTTACAGAGAGAGACCTGGGTCAAATGCTAACCTTAAGAGGTGCAAGACCATGTGTAACAAAATTTAATTACATTTGCTTTAAAGTTTCATGTTATGCACAAGAGACAATGATTTACTCTAGAATTTCTCAGTGCCAATATTGTGCCAGATCTGCCTTTAGCCGGTTTTCAGTTTTAAGTGCCATTTTGCGGACAAACTTGGACAGATACAAGTCTTGAGCATTTGATCATGTCTTAGTTCTTTAATTTGCAACTGTTTTATACCCAAAATATAGGAAAACATGTAATCTCCCTTTATTAATGCTTCAGATTGTGTCATTACTAAATCACTACTGAAACTTCCAAGTCTTTGTGACATGTTTTCTCTTTTAAAATTGCTGTTTCACATTCCTCCTTGGTCCAGTTACTGTACATGCTCCTTTCTCTGATGGGTTTTCTGGACTGGTTTTCTCCATAACAAAAGTTTCATTGAGGAGTAAATTGACATACTCTACATGTAATTTGATACACTCCAGGCAATAATGTGACTGAACTACATCTATATACCATTAAGTGTCTTCATTCATTTATCTATAGATACAATTTGCTCACCCTCTATGTGTAGCAAGATCAAATGCGACACTTAGTCCCTGCTGTCCAGCCTTTATATTGTCACGGTAAAACTTGTTACTTTCCTCAACAGTACTAAAACCTGCATACTGCAAACAGTAAAGGAATTTCTTTATAATAATTGGCTTTAATTATCACCTGAGTTAATTCACATATCATGCTCTTTATTTCATGTATCTCCCCAAGAGTAGACTGGGCTGGCCAAAATGAATGATGAAAGAAGTTCTCCCAGTTAAAGCAATGAAATGAAATAAAAACAATTGTGCTGGCCAGATCTGATAGGATCAAATTATAGGGATCTCAACCTCAGGATTGACAAGGAAATACTTGAGATATTGACTCCGTGGTGGAAATCAAAGACAATCCACTCAGAGATATCTTTTTGAAAACACTGACTTCTATTTAAGCTTTCCAGATACATCTAATTTATCTCTAAGAATTTTAGAGGAATGCTAGCTATCTTCTAAAATAACAATTTAAATCCCAATATTTGAGGTCTCATTTCTTATGGTAAACACATGCAGAAAGAAGAAATTTATGATATTCTCCCAACTTCAATTTACAAATTGCCTTTACTGTATCTTAAACCTTTCACCTTTAACCCCTATGTGTGACTCAGCTACTTTCTCCTCACAAAATCACACCAGAATCAAACATCAAGGTTGCAAGAATCAAAGAAATGATCACTAACTAAAGCAACTCTTGATTGTGAAACAAATTCTCCCTGCCAGCACCCTAGGAAATGTAGAGAACAGTATTGAGAATATGCATACTGAAGTTAAGGTGTAATGTCCAGGCAAAACTTGTATAGTCTCTTACATCTCCTATGATCCACAGCCTAAGCAGAACCACTACAAATTATGGTCTATACAATTCATGTATTTTGATAAACATACCTGTCTGATGGTCCATGGCCGGTTAGTGTACATGGTAGGGTACGGTCCCCTTGTAAATGGAAACTTTCCAGGTATTTCTTCCTCAGAGTGTTGTGTGTCTGTTTTAGTATATGCAGGTTTGATGTTGATACCCTGTGTAAGGTGGTAAATAATTCTTATTAATCAGTAGTTTCTCCATAATTTTTCATAAATCATGAAAAAAGCATTGTTGGTTGTATGCCTTAGTAAAAGACAACCTACTACAATTTATCTTCACAGCCCAGTTGGCACTTGCTTTGCTGATTTTAGTAAATCTATCTTGTCTCTTGCTTTTCATTAAAAAGATATAACCATAATTGGAACCATTAAAGGGCAGCTGCCAGGATAAAACATGGTAAAAAAATTTTTTTTCAAGAACAATCTCTAACTAAAATGATTGAAAAGCTCATATTTTTTTATTGTTTATACCAGAGATTGTTCTTAAAAAAGTTTTTTAACCATAACAGTAACTGTTTCTGTTATTGCTGGTTATTGCTAAACCAATTACCTCAGGAGTATGCCATGTCAACTTTTTTTCTGGATCAGCACCTTTTAACTGCTTCTTTGCCAGTTCAGCCCATTCTGGATGCAGGGGCTCTCGATGAAGAGAGCGTTTTCCTACAATCTTACACATATACAGTCTACATCAATTGCACTTTTTTGAACAAGTCTACCCCTGTATCTTTGAGGATCTTTAGAGTGAACAATCATATTTAACCCTCCTCCCCCAACAACCTTAGTACCCACTCTCTCCAATCTAGAGGGCCTTGTCATGTTTCATTTCATATGCTTAACACTTATTCACTGAAGTGGAGGTGGGTAGAGGATATTTACTGAAGCTGTGATGTAAATATCCACTTCTAGCTAGTGAACAGTTGTATATACTGAGTCAGTCAGATAATCACTCACTTATTTCTACAACAATTACAATGGTTTTGGGTGCAAATTCCATGCAATTGCTCAGAGGTGAATATAAAAGGTTTTCAGAGTGTAGGTGGCCAATCAGAGTGCTCCTGAACCCTTTAACCTGCAAATCACATTTGTAATTCTCCTTACTGTCAATCATACAATTCTTATAATGTTAGTTCAGAGAATTTAGTATTATATCAACTAATTGTAAGGAGAAATTCTGTTTTGATCACTCATGGGGATTAAAGGGCTAACACTATTCATTGTTTAAGTACATATTTGTTTCAGGAATATAAATCTAATTGTTGAGCTGAATTAAACTTAAAAAAATCATCAGGCTTCAATTCCATTGTTTCTCTTTGAAGGAAAAATCCTGATGCTCCCTTGTAAAAACAGGCTGTCCCAAGCTATAAATGGGACAGGGAAGGGGGGTTGGGGGCACCTGAAAGACATTACTTTCCCCAAATGTGACAAATGTTTCAATGGTCAGAAGATGTTATAATAATTATTACAATGATAGTATTTATCTATTTTATTTATAGGACCGGGGGCAAAACACCTAACAATTTACAAGCTGATAAACAGGTGGCCCTCGATGTTGCAGGCTGTGTGAAAATTTCTAAAAGAAAATAGCTCAAAGTTTTTTTTGGATGCAGGTCTAAACTTTAAGCAAACCACAATTAAATTTTAGCACAGTACCCTACGATCAAAACCAATCAATAATCTGGGAGACGACTTTCAAGATTTAACGATCGCACGTGTAACGAAACGATTTATAATGTTACTTAAAAATCAACAAAAAAGAAATTAATCTTATAGATATTTTCAGAACAAAACTTGAAAAACGAAACATTTTTAGCTATCTTTCGGGACAAGAACTCTAATGAAGAATTGGTCTTTCAGACGAGGATGAATTTCTGATTCCGTGGGTCACATCACGTCTTTCATTCATTTGTTCTTGAACAAATTAATCATACTCAAATCTTCACCTGGTTTGCTGTTGACAATGGAATAAATACACCTCTGCTTCCAAACCGCGAACAGGTCAACATGATTCTAAAAGCAGGCTAAAGATTGTTCCCTCTTACAAAACAGTCGCCATCGTTTAAACCCACAGTGCACACGTTACAAGACGTATAAACTCAAAAAAGGCACATACAGCTGGCCAACAAGTGGCTCATGTAATGCAGGATGTCACGCAACAGCCTCGATAACATGTGTAGAACACTATAAAAGACGAGAGGAGCAACGATGATGAGAAGCTAGAGACATAAGCAATTTACTCCAGTACATCAAGGAGAGTAGTAATAAAAAATTAAACACGGGAGCCTCTAGTTATTCTTTGATCCTGTGAAAGTGAAATTTCTGTCGTGAGAATGTTCTTGAAACTCAGTTTTTCTGTTTGATTTCCATATTTTTTAACTGTTTATATTGGGATACAATAGCCCACGGCTATTTATATATCCAGCTTCTTGTATATGTGTAGGCTTCTTTTTGCTTTTCAAATTGTCCTTCTCGAACAGACCGTCACGAAAGCTTTGGAAACTAGTCACGAAATCAGCCCTGATAGTCAATGACGTACACTGTTCACGTGACTTTAATAAATGAGCGGGAAATTTGACGCGGGCGACGCGGCCTGTCCTCGATCTTAACGATTCCTTTTTCAATTTTCGTTCCTTGTTTCGATGGATCCTTTACAGTTTGGTTCAGATTTTTTCCTACATAATGAAAACAAAGAGCCATATAGCGTTAAAATTGTTGAGGTAAGACTGTTGCACAACCAATATAATAAGTAGGGTAGTAGGGTAATTTAGTATTATCAAGTAAGTTGATAACGTAAATTTTACTTTTCTCTCTGGGTCCCGCTTCCTTTTCCAGTTGCTTCTGCACTTCTCTGAGCTTCTTGGCTCTCTTCACCTTGGAACCCTTATTAACAAAATATTCCAGGTATGAAATGCATTACGTTTATTCGACTGCCGTTTGAAAGGGTGAAAAACTCAAGCATTTTGGGTATCAATCAAGCTTTAAAATCAGCAATATGATCGTGCTCTCCTATGTGGACCTAATACCAACCGCACGTGCGTTAAGGACTGTCAAATCTTCAAAACAGACATTTCGTGAGAATTATGTTAACTACAACATCGCGGAAACTTCGTTTATTTATTCAACTCTTTTTGCTGTATTTTTTTTGTAATCCGTCAAAGAGTTTAATTTTGATATGGTCTGCAAACCAGATGATCTATGATGCTTTGTTTAGTAGCAGATCTGCAATTATAATTTAAGAGGGTCGGTGATTCTTTTAACGTTACCCAATTTCAATCTAGAATGGCGCCAAAAGTCATTCTCATTTTTGGCAGCAAAAATTTGGAATTCGTCACCTACGTATGTTAGAAACGCCAAGGATATTTCCACTTTTAAATGTCTTTTAAAGAAGCAAGTTTTTGGAAAGATTTAAGAGTGGTAACTTAAATTTTTTTTTCAATTTTTTTCGTTTCACGCACATGTTTTAATGAGTTTTTATCACTCCTAGCTGTAGCGTGAGTAAATAAAGTATGGTATTGTATTTTAGAGAAATAAATTTGAGTCTTCATTTCCTTATATTTTATTTCATTCATCAGATACTTTTGATATGCTTGGCGAACCAATGATATATGAATCTTTTTTCAGCATACATAAGTGGGAGTCGATATTTATATCTATTATTCATCAGAGATATCATGCATTGTCGATGTGGTCTACAAACCAAATGATAAACGATGCTTTGTTTAACAGCAGACACAACCTGGAGTCTTCACACCAACAACTTCGTGTTTCTCTCATCTGGTCTAACTAACAAACGGGAAATGGAAATGATTTCCGTTTACTCTTTTTGAAATGCGTAATGCACAACCAAACAGTCAAGCCCGCATTATAAATGTATTTAGAAGTGCCGAGAGCGTAAAACGAATCATGATCAGTTCCCAAATACAATAGAAGAATTGTGCATTGTGCTTTCCCTATTGCTCGTATTCTCTATGGCATTTCGTGCTCGACGTTAAGTTATGCCCATTGTTCATAAGATACCCATTGACTTTTATCTCAGTATGGAACTCCGGATGCAACCTTTGAAGTCTATTTTGGAACCTTTTTATCAATGCCGCAGTTCCACTACTGTGAATCGCTAAAACCTAAAATTGAAAAGGTAAACAAATAATATCCTAACGGTTTAGTTACGTTTGATTTTCGGTAGAATACTGCCATTTTCGTAAAGAAGTTTGACCAAATTTGAAGTTACAAACCGTCAAAATTGTTATCACCTTTAACCATAGAAAAAATTAATTAATTAAGAAAAACTATTTCTGGTTGATTTATTACCGTTTTGTGTTTAAGGCCAGCTTAAAAGAGCTGCATCTGAATGCGTATATATCTCAGCGTTGAGTGAGAGTTGAGGAGAGGAAGAAACTGAGTGAAGAATGCTAATCAAAAGGACAGACCTCTTGAGTGAATTTGCGTCTTACAGACCAGAATTTGGAGGTTTCCTTTATACCTTTATTTTAAATAAATCTGCAGAGTTTTAAATAATAGCAAAATGACATTATACATTTCATTCATAGGCACGTTAATTGTTACAGACCCTAACAAGAGGCATTAAGGGGGCAAAAAAGACTGGTCACGATGTAGAACAGAGGAATCGTGAAAAATCGAGTACTTTCAGCCATGAACTGGAGGTGGAAACTATCTATATCGTTATGCTAAGACTGGAATGAATGTGTAGCAATTAGAATTTGCATTTCTATTCATTGTCAAGTAACTGCGAAACAGATAATATCCTCACAGCACAACAGTGTTGTCGGCAGGGTCCCTTACGTTGTGCGCAGTCTTTCGCTTAACGAATTTAGCGCATAAGTATTCAAGAAGGGAACAAAGTTTCAAAATCCACCCTGTTTGTATCATGAATTTCACAATACAGTTCAACCTCAAGCGTCTGTGGCAGAGATATCTCAGAAAGATAACGTGTGCGTAGTTGTGTGAATAATTTCCGTGTTTTAAGATAAGAAGTGTTTTCTTGTCTGCCTAAGGAAACTAGAACTGTCATTACTGGTTTTAGTTGTCTTGCGCGTTAGTGCGGAACTGTGCTTGTCCCACTGAAAAGTGTCCGAAAATTTGAAACTCAGGAATTTGTGTTACTTTGCACTCGCTGTGTGGTACCCTTAAATTTCTCCAACAGAATTTTTGAAAAAACTAAATAACAAAAGTTGTTTAACTATATCCTAACAATATAATTCTTTTTATCGTGTCACTTTTGGTGTCAATTATGCCAAAATATGAGCGTTATTACAGGGAAAAGTGCTGTGTTTTTTAATTCATCCCGGACATACTGGTTAATTCCAGTACGATGACGATTAATTATCGTCATTGATAAAGACTGTGATAATGTCAATAGGAAGTAGGACTGTCAATATGAATGCCAATAGGAACCTTTTAGAGCCCATATGAATTCAATTTGTCTTTAACTGCAGACTGAGATAAAAGTTCCATTTGTCGGTAGTTCAGTAGGCAGAGTCCATTCTTGAATACTTGAGAATGCACTCGAGCGTTATTTCTCATTACCTTAGGTGCGATTGTTTTCAATATACAATTTTAGGAAATGCTCTTCTCCGCAGGGAACTTTAAATGACTCTTAAGGTAAAACTGAACCGATCATTGAAATCTTTAAACCTACTCTTTCCTAATATGTATTACTTT